ATAACAGTCTCACCGCATCCACGAATGTTATATCAATGCAATATCCAAACACAATCCCGAACACTAAGATGACACTACCTCAATTGGTCGGGCCAATTGATGTAGTCTCACCCGAGCATTCTTCCGGTGACCGGAGTCACGAATTCCAAATTGCTTCCTCAAAGAATGCCAGCATTGAATTCTCCAAAGCAGAATATGCACGCCCCACCAAAGCAGAACTCGCACACTGTACCACTTCAGCTCGTTCATCCAAATATGCACAAAGCCAGAAGCTTTCCTCGCTCACCAGCCACAAATACTGGATATTTCCACAGGAATCGATCCGCGGCTAGCTGTCTGTGCACAGTCCTGAGACGGGCATTATACCACGCGACAAGATCGCCTGGAGACAAATAAAAAACAGAAGCGACAGAGGAGGAGCGCCCAGGACAGGCAGAGAGGGACAGACAGGGAGATTAGCAGAGAGCGCCGAGGAGGGGGACGCACGCTGCACTACGGCGCAGAGAGTGGTGTCGTGTGGCCTCGTGAAGCTGACTCAGAGGGTGTTTAACAGATCGTTGGAAATCAAAGATGGGAAGACGCGGTACTCTAGACACCGTGGTCGTGAGTGGAGAGTGTCATTACCACCATTTGGGGAAACAATTGAATTGCTCAAAAGAGGTCACAAGTTTGAACAAAGATGCCACCAGGGAGTTTTCTTGGGAGTCAAAGACAACACCACTGAAAAGATAATGGGGAATGCATCAGATGAGATCAGCAGCCACTGGCTTTTTTGTGGCCCGAGCCCGTTGCCTTTCGGCGGGTCTACGGTACTTGAGACTTACTCGTCTACCACGTCACGATCGCGGCCCCGTACCCGGGGGGAATCGATCCGCGGCTAGCTGTCAATGCACGGTCCTGAGACGGGCATCATACCACTACGCGACGAGATCGCCTGAGATCAGCAGCCACTGGCGCCATCAGCGCCAGTTGGGCCACCAAAGTACATCACCAAACGTGATTTGGACAAGTATGGCTACACAGCTGGTTGTGTTGCCTGTGATGCCACTAGAATTGGCAAGAGAGGCAAGGGGTGTTCATCACACTCCAGCCTGCAGAGAATGGATGGAAGTTTAATGTACTTGTTCATTGTGTTCTGCAAGGATCTTCTTTGTGTTTCTTTTCCATTTTGGCTCAAGGACTTTCATTTGTGCGTCTACATTTTTTGTTTTTGTCTGCTCAGACAATAGTTTTGCTTTGGGACATCTCTGGCATGCATTGGCATTGGTTTGTTGCGTTTTCTCATGTCATACATTTGTTTTCAGAGTTTCATGTGCTTTTTGTTTGATTCACGGACACCGGGCGTTCCCGGGCGACATGGACGGAGCGACAGTCTCGGTGCTATCACTAAAACAACTGATCACTGCACCTCTCCTCATTGTCAACGAGTTGTGCCATCGATTCCGTATCCCGTTATCCTCAGCATCATCTGTACCACTGAATACCCCACCAGATTTGGAAAATCCTTCAGGGTCACCCATTCCCGAACGTGGATCTTGTGGTGCGAAGTGTCGCTGGTGTGATTTACCCTGTGGACGTGCAAAGCCTGGTCATACAGGGCATAGTTACGTTGTTACACACATCGTCATTGGCGTGATGGATAATTCTCTGGATGAATGGTCATTGGTACACAGTGTTGAGAGTTCATGGGACAAGAGTTCACCGCCTTTGCAATTCAGGCCAAAGTCAGCTCCGTTGCAGCGTGAGTCTTTACCTCAGGGTCCTCGCCTAGTGTCTCCGTTTCAGGTGTCTGACTTGCGTCCGGTGGCAACCAGTTCTATTGGGTGCTCGGGACAGTCTTCAGCTCAGCTACATCCAGGTATTCCACGTATCTCAGATTTGAGTCATGGATGTCAATTTCTTCCCCCTCAACAATTACCTATTGATTCGATTCGAATTATTCCTGGGTCCAACCCGTTGCAGATTCCCGCACAGAACTTACCTGTGATTCAGAGCTGGACGACCTTGCAACAGAACGCATAGGCAGGTTAGTTGGAGACCAAGAGCGGAACAAGAGTAGTTACTCGCATACCAAATTTGACATCAACCCAAGGGAAAGGAGGCAGATGCTGAGCAAGTGCCAACTCATCATGGCCACTGGGGGCACAGTGGCTCAAGACCTCACCATGCCATGGTCGACATTAAGTGGATTCATGCAGGACCTCTCTTTGATGGTTATTGACGAAGGACAGCAATACGGCACTGACCGCGAAATTGCAACCATCAGCCTGCTCAAGCAACAGCCCCTTGTTCTTTGGACAGGGGACGCACAGCAAACGCCGGGCGGAATTGCTCGAACGGCTCCTAATGCCAAGAGGTCACGCCAGCTCCTACTGGCCAAGAAACACGGACTTCGGAGCGACAGAAACTACTACATGCCTTCAAACCTGGCAGAAGCAATGATCAGGTTACTCGATGATTCGTCTAATGAAGGCCTGCACCTGCTGAACCAAACGTTACGGAACAGCGAACATGTCTTGGGTAGAGTGTGGACTGAGCAACTGTCGCCAGCTGACGAGGAAGACCTGCGAGCTGTCAACAAAGTCCTTCCGGGTCTTGATTCACACTTCCGAGCAGCACTGGCAAGCGAGCAGGCGCAGCTCCCGACAATGGTAGATCCCACGCTCCTCGAAGGCACTGCCATCAACTTCTCCCGATCTCTAATCCGCCTCGCCTGGATGCTACAACATGCAGAGACCCTCCTGCCTATGGCCGGAGAAATTCAAGCGGAGCTTAACTCCCACACAGTCGGTGTCAGCGACATTCATGCCTGGGGGCTCATGCTACCCTCCAGTTCACGAGTTAGTCCGGTTACGTTCCACTCTGTTGTCGCGGTTAGATACCCAGATCTCTGCAGACTCATGAGCAGCCGCTGGGAGTTAGGCAGTTTTGCCTCAGGAGGGATCGCTAGCAAACCCCCTGGGTACCAGTTCATCCTATGGGACACTAATGTCAAAATTAATGGTCTTGTTGTGGCAGATCTGGAGACGCTCGTATCACAAGTGCTCTCTGACTTCCCCTACAACACCGGCTTCGCAAACGGGCTTTTCGTTATGACCACTGCCACTGACCATAAAAACAACCTTAACCGCTCCACCCTCAAAAAAGACTATGCCCGTACATTGCGTGTAGAGACCATTGCAAATTCGGCTGGTCGCACGGCGGCAGTTGCGATGGTAGCCCAGCCAAGCACAGGTTTCCTGAATGGAAGGTTTCAGCCGGATGGTTCCCCTACAGAAGATACTGAAGACTGCCTAGGACGCATCACAGTTGCGCTCACAAGATCCAAATCGCTCACCCTGGTAGTCTCCCCATTAGACATGATGGGCCTCATCGGTATGGCACAAGTACTTGCTACGCTGGCCTATGGTGTGCAAGGCTCACCACGTGGGACTGGCCTTCCTTCAATCCGAATCCGGCACAAGAAAACAACAGCCAAATGGAAAGATGGTCCCTCAATGTGGCACCTTCGTGGTCATCCCCCCCTCTTGCCAACCAATATCATGACCAGAGAAGAAATCAGTCACAGAACGTTCGATATCGACTTATCCTAGTGAGAGCATCCAACCTCGACTGGCTACAGAAAGACAAACATTCCTTGCGTGACTTGTACCAAACAGCAACAGCCGGCCATAACTGGCTCCCAGTGCAGAACCTCCCATTCGACGAACTAATATTGTTTGCATACGCTGCTGACCGAACCCCCAGACCTACGTATATATGCTTACCATCAGGATTATACAATGCACGTACCGGACGGGTCCCACCACAAACTGGCCCCTCCCAAGAAATCACACCACTGCAAGGCATTTACTTCTTCGATGGGTGGCGAGTGCAGCCAACATTAGACATCCCATCCAACCTGCCGAGCACCGAGGAGGCGCCAGCATACGGTGTTGGAACAACCACGCACAACCCCCGGGGCACGGAACCAGCCAGATCACCTGAAGAAGAAGCACGAGACATACTTGCCACAGCGGCCAAAAACCAAACGGAAGATGGACCCAGCACTCGCAGGGCAGCCATCCGTGCATGTAAATACCTTCGAGCAATGGTTAGCCAACATGGCACCCCAACTCCAGGCAGTGTGCGATGCTGCGAAAGTACATGCACAACGCAGCAGAGGAAGCGCAACAGCTGAAACGGCCAAATATAAGCCGAAGGAAAGTGAGCTCCCCGTAGTAGCACCAGAGCTGACATCGGAGTTGCTACACTGCCTCTCCACGTTGCCTGACCCATGGCCCCTTGCCAAAATCACGATTAACATGGATAGCGCCAGTCAGTGGGTCTCCAGAATGTGCCGCCTCTTCTTTGCCCACGAATACGCCAGACACACAGTAGGCACGCCCACTGCTTCGCAGGTACCGGATATGGAATCGGCGTTTCAAGCTGTCCAAAACGCCCTTCCCAAGCTCGAGAATAGGATCATAGATTTTTTTTTCCCTCTGGTTTGGCCGATGTCGCACTGTGGCTCGGTCCTAACATGAGTATACTGGAGAATGGAGACCGCCTGTTTTTAAAGTTTTTTGTGCGATTTGCTTCTTTGTTGCTTCGAAAATTACTTAAAAGCAATCCCTTACACAGAAAAAACAGGTTTGGTATCCAAAGCGTATCTAATAAATAGGGGTTTGTCTTTTGAAAAAAACTGGGCTGAAGCATTTCTGAAAACAGCAGCGACGACAAAAGTGCTTTGAAAACTAGAGTCGTCTTTCAAAGTTTCAACCGTGCGAAGCAGAGCTGACTTGTGATGAGTGGACTCACTGGCTTTGATTCGGCCTGCTGCTTCACAGACAATCGTGCAGCTCTGCCTTCTTTTTCCTCAGTCGCAAAGACATACTTTCCGCGAATTGAATGTGACTGGCTTGTAGGGAGGGCAAGCCACTAACTTTAACCCCAGCCAGCTGTTAATTTCATATAAAAAATCAAACATGAATTTAAGAGGCGCTCGCTGAGGAAAACCATCAGCTGCCACACATGCCACTCTTTTTAAATTCAACCTTGGCCAAAAAACTCACTGCTGAACTTCGGGTCAAAAGCTTGCAGCGGAGATCAACGACAGTTTTCTGCTCAGGGAAAGCAGATAAAATGCTACCGATCTCCGTCTCAGTGACAAAAGCCAGCAGCTCGGACGCAGCCCGCTGGTTCGCCTCTGCTCTTGTCAAAACTGCAAAGAACTGATGCGAATCACTCAGCAGTTTCCACTTGCTATCAGGGTCTGCCATGCGAGCGACAACTAGAGCAACCAGCCCCGGGAAGTCCGACTGGAAGCCACTGGAGCAAAAGACAGACCTGCGAATGCTCATGGTATTGATGTACTTCACAGCCGGTCCGTTCCCACTGCAGAATGCCTGCGCACTCAAGAGAAAAGAGCCACTCAGAAAAGCATTCCAAAGAAGTTCCTCGGGCGGATGGACAATTTCATTGATGACAAAAATTTCGGCCTTCAGAGGAGAAGACTCAAACATGGCACTCATGCTGGTCATGTGCCGGTCCAGGGCATCATTTCCTGTTGCAGGCTTGCCAGCAGACAAGAAAATCTTTTTGCCTCGGCAGATTGCCGAAATCGACTGCAAAGCTTTTTCTTTCTGCATTGCTTCTTTCAGCTTCTTTGCCTGATAGCGGGTAACTTTCTCGATGCGTGCTGCCTTGTGAGCAGCAACTGCTTGTCCAGGGTCATGTCCAATTTCTTGCTGTAATTCTTCGGCGGTCAATCCTTTGCCCGCCGCTGTGTCAAGGGCACGTTCTCTGCAGCGTTTCTTTTGCAATTGCGCTTCTGCCTCATGCTTCTCGGTCCAGTGCTCATCACAGGGGCATTGAAATGCCGAAGGCTCAGCGGCATTGACTTCAGCTGCCACCGCTGCAGCTCGCCGCTTTCGAAAAACCTAGTCCGATTTCAGAAGATGTAACATCTTATAGATAGTTGGTCTTAAGCACTTGAAGTAACACCTAAAAATGTCGCAGCAAAAAGAAAAGCAAGGAAATGACAGTCAGGAGCAAGTTGCCTGCAGGGTCCTGTCAACCTCGTCTTTGCGTCTCTTTTGCCATGCCCGGCTAGCTGCAACAGATCTCATGGTGGAGTCACTTCCGGTAGTTTTTACAGGACCAAAGAACTTTGCCCAAAGAACAGCCGCTGCTCTGACCAATTCCTCATCTTCAGCTTGACTGAAATGCTGGGCGCTAAGAAGAAAAACTTCATCGCGTAAGGCAATCTCAGTCATGCTGCCTTTGCTGTTGGTAAGAGCCCGGATGCCAGAGAAAGCTTGTTCTACGCCAGATGTAGAACAGCCCCATCCAAAAGCGCGAGTCAATGCCTTTCTAAGCTCTCCTTGGGGATGATGGTTCCGTAGATTTGAATCTTTCAAGGCCAGGCTCAGAGCAGCTTTCCATGCCATGAGAGGCTCCAAACCTGCTGATTCGAACTTGTGCTGCGCGATTGGGTGAAAATCAGCAAACTGCTCGGCAAAGGAATCTTCGTCTAATTCTAAAAGCTGCGACAGTTTCTGAATCTTGTCCGCAATCATCTTTTCCTCTGCGGTGTGGCTTTGACGGTGGCTATCCCGCTCGCTCATGGGAGTCACATGGAAAATTGACAGTGACTGCAAGATTTCAAAGTATGGGAACTAAAGCTGCGACGACTTCCTGCGCCAATCTCACCCAAGAACTGAATCGTTAAGCAGTTGCATACAATAACAGCCAACTGCTGCCGGAGCAAGCCACCAAGACGCTTCACCACCTTGTCCACGCAGAGTGTTTTTGGATTTTTTGGCGTCTCCAAGACTTTCAAGACATGCGCCATGTAGCCGGTCTTTTTCACAGCACCATTGACAAACAATACTTCTAAGCGCATCACAAATTGCTGCACCAATAGGGCTAAGCTTCCAGACGTGACCCTTTCTGAATCCAGGCGTCTGGTCAGTTGCAGATTTTCCTCCCCTGCGTCCGCCAGCATACCCATGAGCACCACGGTTTCCTCAGAAAGCAAGTCAAGGAATGTCCTACCTGCTTGGCCAACTTTTTCATGTTTCCTTTCCTCGTGCAGTTGTGCGGTTCTGACGACCGCCTCCAAAGTCAGGTAAACTTTTGCGAAAGGCATGCTCCATGTGTCGAAGCGATGCTTGGCAGCGGAAAATTTCTCAGACATTTCTTTCCACAGAGGCGTGAATTGCATGGCGCGCACGTTTTGTGCATACACATGACGCACTACATCGCTGAAGTGGATCTGCTGAACTATGGAATCTGACGACATGAAGACCTTGTCCACCAAGTTGTTCAGCACGGGATCGCACTTAAAAGTTCTCGAAACAATTCTCCTGGCGCCGTGCGGCTTGTCCCTGTTAATTACCTTAAGGTTTGGGAACACCTGCTTGAAGCTTGCAGTGGCGACTTCCATTGCCTCAATCACCCCATCACCGGGTCTTGCCCCAAATGTAGCAGCATCCACGATCGCAGAGACGTCGGACGCCAGGAGTTGCCCTGCTAATTGTTCGTCTGCAGCAGCGTCTGCGTTGAACACTTCAACCATCTGTAGGACATGCTTTAGCAAATGTTTGTCCAGGTCGGGACAAGACCCAGGAACAGAGGTCGGATTGCGCTGAACAGTGAGCTCAGGGGCTTCCTGGACTGGGCATGCCGCAGAACCCATGGCCTCCTGATGTTTGGCGTCTTGGAACCAATCGACACGCAGGAACGGCGTGCAAAACTCTACTAACATGGACAGGATACACTTTACGATCCCCTGAGCGTCGAATTCCTCCAGTTTCTTGCACCCGAGCAAGACATGCACAGGTTTGAGCTCCGCCCCGCAGCCCTGGCCTCGCAGCACCAACCTTCCCTTTGAAGCATCTGAATGTAAGGTAAGACAATTGCAATCCAGCAGTCGCAAGCGGGACTGGATCCGCAAAGCTTCCGCCAAGCAGAGCTTGGCCTTCAGGAGCTTCTCTCGTTTCAAAGTCTTTGTGCCTTGGGGACCGCCTGCTTTCCCTTGCCGGACAAGCTGCAAAGCCTCTACAAAAACCGGCACGGGGGGAGCCACGATGCCCAATCGGATGTCTGGATTGCTAACTGCAGCTTGGTGCCTTTTGGTCTTCGAATGCTCCTCAAAGTGGCTTTTCTGGAGGGATTTACATGTGCGAAATTCGGCATGGAAGTCTCCGTAAAGCTTGCAAGCTTTGCAAAACGCCAGGACCACGCGACCGCTGCCATCTCTTTTGCGATCAAGCCATGGGAACTCCTCTAGCCATCTATTTCCAAGCTTCAGCCATTTCGCATGAACGTCTAGACAGGTGTCATCCTGCGAGGCTGCAACGTGACAGAGCACAAAGAGACAAATCGCGGAAAAAAACTCGGTGCAAATCGCGAAGTTGCCGGGCGCTGAGGAAGAACTTGGTGCAAATCGCGAAGTTTTTGGGAACGATGAAAAAGTCAAAAAACCATTGGTTTTCGCGTGAAAAACAAAAGATTTGAAGAGCAAATCGCGAAAAAAACTTGGCAAATCGCGCCAAGTTCCTGATGAGAGGGGGGGGGTTCAGAGGGGGTCCCTCTCAACGGTCGTGGGCGCCCCCGACTGATGAGATCCTGTTCCGCCCCCCTCCAAAAGTGACTTCTCATACATGCTGGCCGGGCCACAAAACAGAATCTCAACGGTCGTGGGCGCCCCTGACTGATGAGGGGACATCCCGAAAACGGGGATCCTCTCAGCGGAAGGGCCTTGTGATTTGCATTTTTCCGTTTTGCCGCTCTAAGTTACATGCATAGAACACCATGGGCAGTCCTCATGGCAGGATGTAGCAGCCACTTGTTCCAGATGCAGGCCAGAAGGCTTGCCCATATTCGCCGCGGCCGTCTATGAACTTAGCTTCAGCGATGCAGCGAGCGCTGCGTTGCAACAGAGAAACGCTATACCTGTCGCTTGATCCACAGTGACCTGACTGAAGCATAATCATGGGTCCACAAATAATTTCAGTCGCGTAGCCTGAGCCATTTATGTGCCCAGCTGCCGCGGCAATTTTTCACTTAGCCCCATGCAGACTTTTGAAACGGGCATTGGGCCGTCCAAGTATAGGAATTGTCGCTGAAGCACTGCTCTCATTAACTATGAGGACGAAGTAAATAAATCAAATCTGATGGAATGTTGACAAATTCTCGTCTCAAGTAAGAGTATTATAGCATGGCTGGGCAAGGAAGGCGCACAAACGAGAGGAAGGCTCTCTTCACATTAATTGATGGCATGAATTAATTAAAATAAGGACAAGCCACCAATCGGTAATTAATCAAATGCGATGGACTGGGCAAGCCACAAAATCCACGCGTAAAAATTAATCAGCGTCACTGCAAATCATCAGCAGATTGCCGCCGTCAGACGATCAGAGACTCCGTACTAACTAGTACCAGTCCTCCTGGCAGCCTTTGTTCAAAGCGGCTGAAATCAAATCCGTGTTGCGCAGACAGCGCTGCCCATGGATCGGTCACTCCATCATCCACCTTGCCAATGTTTTTGAGCAGTGCCAGGGCGACACGTCCAATCACGCTGTGAAAGCGTTGCCAAGCATTCCTGCGTACTGCTGTGCTGTCACTCCAGCTGGAACCCGAAGATGCCCTCCTTATTCTTGGGGCCAATAGACAGTGGAACTGCATAAAAGGGTTTGAGAAAGGGGGGACAAAGAAACCGGAGAGTTGACACGCAATACGCGAGGAACAAGGTTACATATATAAACCACGCGTACGCGATACGTCGTGCTGACATATATTCTGATCTCCGAGAAACGCAAAAAGGAAAACACGTAAACGGGATCACAAAATATAGGTCACAAAAATTGCAGCACGAAAATGGGAATGCAAACTCGACAATGCACAACAAATGCGTGAATTCACCGCAGTCCCTTTTTGTCGCCAGAAAATTCTCAAGTCACACGGGGGAAGTTCATTGATCGGAGTTTACATCCGACTTTGAAGGAGAAAGAAGTCGCCAGGCTGCTGGACATGGTTCCAGTCAAAAAGGCTTCCAAACTTTTCTCCAAGACTGAAAAAGGTTTTTGACCGCTGCTGTATGGTTGCAGCTCCTTACATTCCCCAGGGTGGGAGAAAACATGGGTTACCCAGGTTTTGGGTGGGTAAACAAAAATGAATGATTCCCTGTGCTTTGGAGTGGGTATTTTGGCCCACTTGAACGGAAGGCGAGAGATAAAGATTTGATCTCGTGTGCCAATGGAAAAGAACCGTGTTTGTTTGTATACCTCGTCAGGTGTTTGACAAAACAGGACAACAAACAGATTTCACAACAACGTATCAGAAGTTGATTTGTTTTGACAAGAGACATTTCTTCTAATATAGAATAGTCTTGTGACTACAGTTCACAAGGGGAAGATTGTACATACAGTACAATAAAACAACTGTTCAACCACAGTCAAGGTTTCAAGAACCCTTAGATCAAACCCAGCACCGCAGTAGATCCACATGTTTTGCATTAACAATGCAAAACACCATTGACCCCAAGAATAACGCATCATCTTTGTACCAAAGAGGACGTGCTTATTCTTGGGGCCAATGGACAGTGGAACTGCATAAAAGGGTTTGAGAAAGGGAGGACAAAGAAACCGGAGAGTTGACACGCAATACGCGAGGAACAAGGTTACATATATAAACCACGCGTACGCGATACGTCGTGCTGACATATATTCTGATCTCCGAGAAACGCAAAAAGGAAAACACGTAAACGGGATCACAAAATATAGGTCACAAAAATTGCAGCACGAAAATGGGAATGCAAACTCGACAATGCACAACAAATGCGTGAATTCACCGCAGTCCCTTTTTGTCGCCAGAAAATTCTCAAGTCACACGGGGGAAGTTCATTGATCGGAGTTTACATCCGACTTTGAAGGAGAAAGAAGTCGCCAGGCTGCTGGACATGGTTCCAGTCAAAAAAGGCTTCCAAACTTTTCTCCAAGACTGAAAAAGGTTTTTGACCGCTGCTGTATGGTTGCAGCTCCTTACATTCCCCACTGACAAAACTGAGCTGGCAACACTATGTCAGGCTTGGGTACTCCAACTAGCCATGGAGTGTTGAAGTTAAGCCTCGAAGCATCATCAGCTGGATTGCTGGCAGTAGGAACCCTGGCAAACCAGGGAAAAACCTTGAGCTGCTTCTCAAGCTTTACGAACTCAGAGATCAGGCTCTGTGCAAGTCTAGTTGACCCTTCGGCTCTGATCATTCCACTCCGAGCCGCGTCGTTATCCAGATAGAAGACTATTTGGGCATTGAGGAGGTGGCTCTGCCAAACACGCAAGGCCAGCAAGATGGGAAAGATTTCAAGCTCGTAGATTGGGTGCTGGCTGTCTTTTTCAAACTCGGACGTCAAGCTGTCAGGCAGCTTCAAGCCGAAGCACTCCACCACCAATCCATCCGGGTTGACAAGCACCGCCCCCACTGAAGCTCTTATCTCGCCATCTGGTTCGAAAGCACCATCAGTGTAGATTGTCCAAGTTTTCGTAGTAGCACAGTTGATTGTGACTGGCTCGTCCTTTGCCAACTCTTCTTGCAAAATCACAAGCGCATCTTTGAGTGGCCTTACAACCCCAACTCTCGGAGTGCTGGCCCTTGCAAACTTCGATACAACGCTCACTGCTGCCTTCAAAGTACGCCCAAAGACAAAAGAGTTGAACCAAACCAACCTGCCGTGCAATCTTTCCAGCTCTTTTGGGCTAACACCTGTTCCTTCAGAAGAGAGCATGCTGCCTATGTGTTCCAGCAATTCACTTCTTCTGGCAGCTGTATGACCAAGAGAAAAAGAACCTTGTCCCACACCGTCTAAATCAAACTGCAGTCCAAGCGATTTGAAAAGAGGTGTAAAAGGTGGAGCTTTGTCGCCCTCAGCAGCAAAATCCACTCCAAGGAGTCTGAACAATGACTCTATGTAGAACTGCGTGTTTCCGGCAACTCTTTCAGGAGCAACTGCCGTGAAGTCGTCGAAGAAACTTGACCAACAAATCAGTAAGCCACGAGTCCCTATGAAGGATAGCGCGGCAGCAATCCTCAAGAATGCCACAACACTTCCGGTTGCTCCGAAAGGAAGAGCTAAGACATTGTAGAAGCTCACATCATTTTGGCCAGATTTGATTGCAATCTTTAGTCTGTTCGATTCCTCCAAGCTCACTCCAAATTGCTTGTACGCCGCTTTCAAGTCAAAAGTCCGGCCCGTCCAGGGCAAGCTGTTCAAGGCCTGTTTGGAGCGCATCATTGAGAGAATAATGGCTACCACCTGATCCACAGATTCCACTCTCAGCTTCTCAGGAAGGCCCACCGTGGCATTTACGCCGCAAACAGAAAAATCGTCTATAAGACGCATCTTGTCCTTCTGTTGTATGGGAAAACGCTTTGCTATGAAGTGGCCCTTCATGTCGACTTTGTCACACTTGGATAACCAGCCCTTGTCTACTTCGGCCTCCGTCTCTGCCAAAGCGCTGGTGTCCAAATCCGTCCATTGGGCCTGTTTCAAGCTTCCCACAACCGCGGCGTTGAGGCCCAACGCAACTCCTTTCAGCTGCTCTACAGTCATGCTCGCAGGTCTGACCTTTTTGTCAAAAACTCCACTCTCACTTGCCCAGCCCGTCAAGGCAAAACCAGAGATGATTTCATCGATGATCTTCACGTCACCGTAATCCAGGCTGACAAGAATATGTTTCCAGAGCAAGAGTTTTTTCCGTGCTAGGATGGTTTGCAGGTGCTGCGGGAGGCCAGCATGGAGTTCGGTTTCTGCTTGTCTTAGTTCGGCCGCCTTCTTCAGCCAACCTTTGAAAACCTGAGCTCGGTGTGCAAGAAGTTCGTGCTCCTCCCATTCAAGATTTGCCTTTATGGCTATGTCGATGTCGTTGGACGTTCTGACCAGATGCCCTCTAGGGTGGCCAACCTTTTGGGCCTCTTTCATGAACTCGATAGGGTCCCTCGGTACCCCAACTGTGATTTGTTCAAAGTCTTGTCCATGACGAAGATCCTGATGTATGAGCACTTTACTTCCAAACGCGGTTCTCAAGGCATCCCTGGAAAAACCCCGTTGCACAACTCGGGATGCAATCTTTGTACCTTTTGGCAGTGTAGAGATCATGGACTGCAAATTGTCACAATTGAGAGGTATTACGATTGTTTCGTAGTGCCCAAACTCTGAGACTGCCTGCAAAAGACTTTTTGTCCTGGGTTGACCTGTGAAAAGTTGCCGCTTGCCAACATCTGGATTTGCTGACAACTGCTGCGTCAGTGCCTGGGGCCCTTCAAGGTTTCGAATTTTTGCCCAATAAAGAAAGATTGATGCCATGCGCTCACACATCACTTCAGGGTAAGCAGCTTCTTCCTTGGTGGGGTAAAAAATTACACCATTCTGGACCGTAGGTTTCCACGATTTGTGAACGTGGCTTCCATCACACCGCAGGGCCAAGGACGCAAGCATGTTTTCATCTGGCTTGAGAGGGTTAAAAGACCAAAACCTAGAGGACTTGTCTCGTGCACCTCCATGCATGCAGTGGTCCAGTATTGTATCATGGCCCTTTGGCACTTGTTGCAACAGGTTTTTAATCCAACTGGTCTTCCAAAAGAGTGAGTTCAAAGGATTTTCAATCGAAACTGAAACACCCCAACCAATCAACATCAGGAGCAAGTTGGCTGTGGCCTCGTAAGACCTGTTT